ATTTATACAATTTTTATATTGATTAAATTATTTAATCAATTTAGAGTTGCAGATCTATAAAATTTTAACAGTGTTTAAATCGTTTAAAATATTTTTTCTTAAGGAAAAAAAGAACCCTAATAAAAGTTAATGGAAGCTATAAATTTTTTAAAATAAAATTGCTATAGTATTATTTATTTTAGTATTATTTTACAAAAAATCTTTAGCATTATCTTTGCAAAACTATGAATGAGGAATAGACGATAGCATTGAGGCATTAGAATGCATATTGCCTTGCAATATATATAGCATTAAATTTGCTAGTGCCTGTTAAAATTCATAAAATGTATTCAATCCACGACACGTTCCTCCTTTACTTATTTTTTTTTCTTTTTTAGAAATTTGCACAAGTTGTAAATGTAACCTCGCGTATAATTTTTGTGTGCGCCACATACGCGTGACGTAGCACATACACCCCTGCACCCCCGCACACACACTCGTGCTACAATACCCACTAACCAGTGGCCCGATCTTAGTTGGCCATTGAAATGCGTGCCTAGTGAAGGATACGCGCGACGTGATTGAAATTTTTAAACAAGCCACGTTGCTAGGCTTTACTGTGTGTAAGTAGTGTGTGTGTGTGAGTGAGTGTGTGTGTGTGTGTATGTGTGTGTATTATGGCTGTCTACAAAATATGACCAACTTGCTGGCACGTCGCATGGCCGCATGTCAGTCAAAGGCGCAACAGAGTCACAATCAAGCTGTTGTATGGCATTGGCCCAGACCGGAAGCGGAAGTCGCTTTGATGAATTGCCTACCAGTAAAAAAAATAAAGAAAAAACAAGCAGCACGCCCAACCCACAATAAGCAATGCCCTCAATGCATTTGTGTCGTGCGAAGAGCCTAAGCAGAGGCAAAGAAACATTCAAGTTCAGCGTTCTTAAGCAACTGCTTTAAGAAAGACTTACACATGGACTTATATATATAAATATATATATATATTTAATTTCGCAAAAAAAGTCGAAAGTTAGTCGTCAGGCAGCGCAGCGAAAATGTAAAACGTTATTAAAGTCAGACGGAAATGCAGACAAAGCGACAACGCGCTGCAACAAGCATTTTGCCTAAAGTGTCAGACGGCGTCGAGCAGCAAAAGCTGAGGAACTGAACTGAAATGAACTCAAGCGAAATGCGCCAGCCGAGCAGCGTGGGGGCGTGGCAGCGACTGGAATATACCATTGCATTAAATTACAATTTTCTGAGCAAAAAAAAAGGAAGGAAATAAAAGTATGCAGTAAAATAATAATGAAAAGTTTTTATGAATAGCAAACACTGACAAAAAGAGGCAAGAAAAAAAAAAACGCTTATTCAGCTGAACAATGCCGTGGCGCAGTGTTGAAAAGTCACAAAAGCCGTCAGCAAGCAATCGAAATCGAGCAAATGGAGAGTGCGCGAATTACCTGAGCATTATAATAAGCCATCAATCGAATAGATTTAGAAATTTGAATAGCTAAAATTGAACAATATAATGAATGAATCGAGTTGAAATATGCCGCAAAAGCATATTAGCAGATAAATATTCATCTGGGAATTTTCTCTGCTTTTTTGTTGTTGTTTATAAAAAGTTAAATGTTAATTGGCGAATTAGTAATTCTCATTTTCGTTTAGCAACACTGATTAATTTGCGGCTTTTCATATTTGCCAGCGTTTGTTTTGTGGAGTGTTGCATGCACCAAAACTTTGAGGTTGTTTATGACATTTACTGTGGTCATTCCAGTTGCCAGTAGCGGATGTGGCAAATTGTGCAACAGCAGCACCACCACCACCACCAATCTAGATAGACCACAATATTACGTAACCACAAATATGTGACCCAGAGAACCAATTAGTGCATATGAATTTGCACAGTTAATTGCTTAGAGCAGAGATACAGAAAGAGAAGGGAAATGAAAGAGAGACACACAGAGAGAGAGAGAGAGAGAGAGAGGGAGGGAGCTGCATGCTCAGCTCGTTAACTCACCTGGCAGAGTTGTTAGGCAGGCCACGCAGATGATGAAAACCTGACAGAGTTTTATTCCCTTCGGCTGCATTCCGCTTGCTCTCCAATGCGATTAACGGATTAAACGTTTATTATTTATTTATGTATTTATAAGTTTTTGAACTAGTTTTTGTTTTAGTTTGTGCTGTTACACTTTTGTATTTGTGCGTTATCCCGTTATTAGCCGCAACGATTTGCAGCCATATATGCGCGCAATATCCGTTTGTGAAAACCGCAGAAATCAATTTTTACATTTGCAATCTCTTGTTTTTCGCTCTCCACCTACTCGATTTTTTTTTCTATCGGGGTTTTCGCCCGCAATCGCAATTTCCTTTTTTCCTTTGATTATTTTCTCTCTTTTTTTTCGGTTGGTTTTCTATTTTGCGGTCGCATTTAATGCATATTTTCATATGAGTTTTGACATTGCTTTTGCTGGATTCCGTTTTGCGCTTTACTTCAATTCTTGCAATTTTAAATGTATATTTTTTTCTTTACTTCTTTTTTTGCTTTTTTCAACCACAATTAGCCATCTGCAGCACAGTGGCTCGTGTACGTGTTCGTACGGGGGTTGGCTGGTGTAAATACGTTTGAGGTTAGCTGAATTGTGAATTCTGCATTGAACTCGATTTGGTTATTTGCATTTTTCATATCCTTTTTACCGGTTTTGCATATTCATTTCCGGTCTGCACTTTATGTCGTTAAGCGGAAAGACTTTCCTTCGTCTCCTTTTGTATGCTTTTCCTCATATGCTTTTCACTCTTCTCAGCTGCCAGTCACATCAATTCATGTGAGCATAGCCAGGGGCAAGCAGAGTTTTCATCAGCTGAAA